CTGTAACATGGATTTTTTTTTTAAAGACAGAGGGCAGGCAGTGTTGTTTTAGCTGTCAGCACCTCCAAACCTCCAGCCGGCGTGTGGTGCAGAACGTGTCAGGGTGTAAAGCGGGGGTTAAGAGGTCCTCAGACATCCATCATCTATTTCTCTATCAGTGGAATTGGCCCCTCTCAAGTAATCCAGAGGGGGATCAAGCCAATGTTATGATTGGTTGGTCATCACAGAAGCTGGGATAGAAGTGGAAGAAAGCTTGACCCCGTGTCTTTTACTGTAGCCTGTCTTAGGTCCTGAGAGGATATAACAGAGCAGCAAGGAAAGTTAAAATGGCTGAAAAAGAGTGATGGATACAATAGAAAACCACATATTTGGCTGTGTATTAGATAAAGAAAATCCACATTAAGCTCCTGCTGTCTGACATGATAGATATCTTTTAAATGATGAATAGACTTTCCCTCTGTTTCTGGGATCTGAAAGTGGGGAGTTTGAGTCAAGATGGTTGGAAGTCAGCTTCTTGAAAAAACCACCAAGCTATTCAATGCTTTACCGGCAGACACTTAAAAAAACAAATGTTTTGCCAAATAGCCAAGCCTTACCAAAACCATTCCACCTGAGGAATGTTCAGCTCTGGTTTCAGCTTGTGTGGCCTCCCGTGCTATAGAGACTGTCCAACGTTTTATGAGCTGGCATAGCTTGGATTCTGTCGTTCTGGCCAACTCAAACAATTAACAGCCTTTTCACTTAACGAGCAGTCACTCGATTCAATGTTCATGCAAAATATATCATAATGGACCTTAATCTCTGCTGCTACTGCTGCTGTTTTGGCTTTTGACTACTTCAACGTTAAGCCACTGTGCATATTCTGTGTATGAATTTGATCTAATAGCAAAGCAAGCCTCGTTTTGTTTGCGTAGTTTCTACTTTCAAACACCTTCATTGGCTTAAACAATGGTCAAATATAAATCTTCCCGTAGCTTGATAACGCCCTTCTTTGTATTGCTGTCTCTGTTTCTTTCCTACCTTACCATCTTTATTCCCCTTGCCTCTCTGGCCTTTCAGTGTCTGTTCAATCCTATCCGTCTCATCTGTTTTTTTCTAATCTCACTCTCCCTCTTTATCACTTTCTTGCTTCTTTTAATTTTCTCTCTCTACTTACACGTGTGTCGATCCTCTTCCCTCCCTCTTCCTTTCCTTCTCCCTCATTGTCTCGCGTGCATATACAGTACACACTTAAGTTATGGCGCATTCACACTGCAGCGCGGAGCTCACTTTAAGCGTGCCGAGCCGTGCGGGGCCCGTTTTTGATTGCGCTTCCACTTGGCCTAGTTTTGTCCCGGGGCTACTTTTTCACCTTTTTTCTGGCCCGACTAAATCGTGGTTCTATCGAGGCCAACAAGCGGGTCCAACAACCGGGCGGTAAACTAGTGACGACTGCTGATTGGTCAGAGAGAATCGTCACAATTCTCGCGCGACTTAATCCCTAGTGTCGCATATATTAAGGGACGCTTGCAGTATTTTTGAAAACAGTGAACCTTGCAGCATTTTTGAAAAAAGTGAACCTAAGAAGAAAAAACCACATACCAAGAAGCAAGACACGATGGCTTCCACATCCTCCATTGTTGTTGTGTGTTTTGTGAGTTGTGTCGCATTGAAGATGACGTCACGGCAGTTGTATGCAGCGTCGCTCCGCCCGCCAAAAAGCCGATCGCCCCGCCTACACTGCGTTACTATAGTAACTACCCCAGTTCCTAAACTGTAATGTGAGCGCAGCATTTAATAGAGGCAACCAAACCCGAGCGGGCCCCGAGGCGAGGGCCTGCGTGTAAATGCCCAATAGTGCCCTGGGGTAATAAGTGCCGGGGCACTAAAGTCGCCGCAATAGTAGCAAAGTACTTGGTGTGAAAGCGGCTAAAGTTTCCCCTTCGTTTCCTAGGTGGGTGGTTCTCCCAGTGACTCCTTGCTTCTGATTGGCTAGTTTGCCCTATGGCGTGCACTAGGGTTGGCATCAAATGCCAAGCAAAGATTTATAATCTCAAAACATCAAAACTGTTAGGTGGTTGCATTTTGTCCCAAATGTCATACAAGATGATTGGTGCTAAGTTGAGGAAATTTATTCAGCATTTAAGGCGCAACGCGCATGTCAACATTTGCATTTTGCCAAAAAATGTGCCATTTCCGGTGCTTTTAAGAACTCCTTTATGGATAACATACATGGCCCATTTCTCAAAAAAATACAACATACGTTTACGACGAAATGTTTTTGAAAGTGACCTAAATGTGTTTAGTTTAAGAAGAAACCGTTGACTTTGTATCGAACCATCACTGCAAAATGGGTTGAAAATGGTAGTCCTATCAATTCAATTCAATTCAATTCAACTGTCATGTAGTTAGTCCTTCCACTGTGCATTCATCTTGCGCTTGCCGCGGCGAAGATTGGGCTGTTCCAGCGGTCATGCTCTANCTAAACTGTAATGTGAGCGCAGCATTAGACACGCTCACATGTTCTCTCCATCTCTACCCGGTGAGGAAATGCTCTTGTTCCCAGGCAGACTGGGTGGTCTCATGGGGAAGAAGGACAGATTGAAGAAGTTCATATGCTCGGACTTCAGTGGAGAGAAATAATAGCTGACATCAAAAACACGTGTTGTTGTGTGAGCGTCTTATCTTCCCGCGCTTTCATGTGTTTTTATTCATCATAATTTATTTCCTGTTTAGAGTCTGCGATCCATCTTTGATGCATTCGCTGGCATCCGTGTCTTGGAAACTGTCCTGTGTGCAGAATGCATATTTATAGTGTGATGTTGTGCACATGTGCTGTTTTTTCTGGACATGTTTGGAATATGTGATAAAGGAATCTGCTCCATATTTCCTTGTTTGACTGTGGGCGTTCCGGGGGGATGGAGGTAGGGGAGAGAAAGTCCGACTGAGATTGATGGGGGAGGAGGTTTGCAAACAGGTAGAGGGAAGGAATAATGAGATGGAGAGAGAGAAAGAGGAAAAGGATGGGTTGGAATGGAATGGAATGGAATGGAATGGAATGGAATGGAGGATCGCGCGAGTGGGTGAGGCAGAGGAATGTGTGAAAAGACCAAGGCAGACATGTCAGGGAACAAATTGAAAATGCCAATTTCACTTTAGCCCCCACCAGCTCAGGCACTTACAGGCCAGCCCCGGCCTCTTATTCCATGTGTAAATGAATGGTGTCCACAGAATAACACACAATCACCTCTCTCTATCCATCTCGCCCTCGCTATTTCTCCTTCACCCTCGCTGCAGTGCCATCCTCTCTCCACCGCTTGTTCCTACTCACTTCCTTCCTCCTTCTTTTCACCCTCCTTTTTTAAATGTCAATTCACACTCCACGTGTCCCCTGCTCACTCCACCTCTGTCTTTCCAACCCATCACCCATTCCAAACATCTTCCAGTCTTTAACCATTGCTCTTCGCTTAGTTACTCTTATTTCCTGCACTTTTCTTTACTATATATCATATTTACAGTAACTGTCTGTGAGAGTTACTGTAACTTTCTCTGTGAGTTATATGTGTCTGATATTCTGCAGGCCAGCTCTCAGGTGAAGTTACTCAGGGGTAAAAAAAAATCTCTTCAAAAGTGCATGGCTACTAAATAAATCAGAGCACAGAATTGTTACTGAAAAAACCGAAAGAAAATAATTTCCCCCAAAAAATAAACCCGAAAAGCACACAACTAGTTTTGAGATACATGGAGACATATTCCTTAATTTTGATATTAGCATCTCTGCCTTCAGGTCCCGCTGAATGTAAATCATCCGATAGTAAAAAGTAAAGAATGAATTCATCCGCCATTCACACATTGTAACATTGCTGTGTCCTCTCATTTCCTTATCTTATCTAAGCACATTTTGTCGGTCCTCAAATACATTCCAATTCTCTATTATTACAGATAGTCAGGATACATCTCACATTGGAGTGGCTGATATCACATAGTGGCAAAGTTGTTCCTAGATTCAATCTGCGAGGGCCCCAAAGCCTCAGGATAGGGTTTACACATGGGATTTTATCGCCACTTCACCAGAAGAGAATAGTCCTGCTATCTCTCAGCCCGAGGCCATCAGAGATAGTGACCATAACACTGGTAGTGAGAGTGACTGTGCACCCTTTGACTGACCGAGACATTAGGTCAGCATGGACCAACTGAAGACTAACCAGCTCACACTCTCTCGCTATCTAGCCTCTGTTTAATGTAGTATGAAAGAAGGCTAATGAATGGATTAGTTAATTTGTGTCTCAGATTTGAGGGTGTTCAGTTCCTGATGAATAAGTATTTTCACATGATTGTGTGTTTACCTCAGTGTCTGGCTGCTATGTGTACGTGAGGTGGGGATTGGGGAGAGGATGTAACTTCTAAAGCGGCATTTTATTTGCCCGTGATAATCGTCGTTGATAAATGATGAGTTGGGAGCGTGGTGGGGCTCTCTCAGGAGCTCTTTCTCTGCTATTAATGCTGTTTACACACCGCCATCACATCGGCGCTTTTGAAGCTTGTTGTCTCGTTTAAAGCAATTCCATAAAACTCATTTACGCCGTCGACGAGTCAATTACATTTCAACTCTTATTAGTTCAGGATGCAAAAATGAAATTAGATGAGAATATTATTGTTGGAGATATATTAAGGCTTTTCATTCATCACTGGGATGGAATGAGTCATGCAGTGATGGGGACTCCAATCTCTTAATCAACTCTGCGCTCCGCCAGGCAGCGGAGGATGTGCTGCGTGTTAAAATCACTATAAAGCCTGTCTCTCATCATTCATTTTTATGGCCCTTCAGCTGTGTGAGCACTGCAGTGTATGACACTACTGCAGCCACTAGCTGAACTGAGCCTGCTCTCAGTGTTTGAGTTCTCTCTCTTTTATTGATTGAATATTTAATTAAAACACCTACAATGTCTTACACTGATGTTATTCATGTAGGAAATTATTTTGTAAGGTAATAAGTGAGTTCTGTTCTTTTTCTATTTCAGTATGCCTATGAGGGCAATGACATCAGCGACCTGCCGGTGAATTTGTCTGTGGTCTGGAACGGAAACTTTGTCATCGACAACCCGTTCAACATCCAAGGTGAGTTAATGTGTTGTTGTGGATTATTGATCTTTTTTTTTATCTCTTCATGCGTCTTAACCTTTAACATGAGACACTGTAGATAATCCATCACATTTTTTTAAAAACATGGATGACGCAGCATCTTAAAGAAAAAAGAACTCAAAACTTGCAGGAACTTATACATACAATAGCTTTGTGACTTTGAAAAATCAGCTCCGACTGCATAGTAAATCATTTATATTGGACTAAAACTCCTTGGCCAGCACAACCGTTCCAATTGATATTCTTGGTCTGTAAAGGGTTCTAACTCTGTTATTTACTCTGTATTTCTGAGTAATTGCGTACGGACGTACTGGAATAGTTCTCCATTAAACTGTTTGCACGTTGTTCATGTGTTGTATCAACATTAAACTTTGCAACTGGAGGAACCTACTCCAATGCTGGCACTCACAAAAGTTTAAAGAGATGACACGTACTGTACACAAAGTCATTTGTGTTCACTAATACATATATTGACTCATCATTATATCTGAGCCTCTGGTTTTACCCCACAAGACTCTTTTGTCATTGCTATTAGGTAGCAGATAAGTAGTGGTAGCATCTCACAGCTGTAGCTAGCTGACTGATAAACCAGTGTGACAATGAGCAATTTAGACACATTTTGTCTGCAACAGAGCATTTGAATCTGTTGAACAATGTTTACAATTTACAGTTTTTGCATTGCATTTGGCAATGTTAAGATGGCATACTAGAACTTCTCCCTGCAATGCACACTGTTACACATTGAATTGTATTGTACTGTAATTTATCTTGCAAGATAACCCCTATTGTGATGGTTCCAGAAGTACCCACTTTAGCTGACAGGTATTATTATAAACAGTGTGTGCAGTACTGTTTGTACAATATATCCACTATTTAAGCAGCATTATAATTTGCACACCACTGTATAACCACACCTCGCTCTCGTTGGAGAAGACAATGAGATCATGTCTGTTGGATATAATTACAGATAGGACCGTACTTACGATGCTGTCGACATAATTATTGTGGCCTGTACAGCACAGCAGGGGTCTGTAACATTATTCTCCAGCTGTGAGGGAACATAATCTGCAGCTACCACTGCGTTCGATACTTCATGTTGATGACACAAAGAGTTTTTACAGAGGGAACTGCATTTTCTCGGCCTGTTTGTTAATCTTTGATGGTCAAAGACGCAGCAAGGATTTGTGTGTATTATTTCAGTTTAGAAGATGTTACATCTCTAAAGCCTGTGAAGCTGTGCTCATTGCCATTTTGTCAGTAATGTAAGATAACACCACAGTCACTTTGTTCCACTTAGTGATGTCACTCCCTGTAGTCTAAATGCAGGCTGTTGAAGTCTAAAATGTCACATGTTTCTCTGGCTGCTGACTCTGGTAATATGTATGTGTTTGTAACCTATACCAAACATGTGTGTATGAACATAGGGACCCCACTGTTATCCCCTTTAATGGGGTGTTTATATTTATAGAGCCAACATAGGATGCTTTGACAGTCAGTGGCACTCCCAGAGACAAAGTGTTTCTAAATGGCATCTGTTAGACGCAGCAGTATTGACATCGCACAATATCAGCGGCACGCATCAGTGTCTCTGCATTGTGTAAATCTCAAGTGTAAATCTCCTAAAGTGCAACTGGAGGCGACCCACAGCCCCCCTCCATCTATCTCTCTTCACCACCAGCCCCTTCCCCATTTTTTCAATCACGATAATCATCTGGTGAGCAATACTGACTTAAAATACTGATATGTTAATGTAATTAGAGAGGAGTCGTTTAACAGACAGTAATTGGTACAGGGTTGCTTTAAAGCTGCTCCATGACCAATGGGATTTGGGGGTGGAATAGCAGAGAGAGATCCGGGTTAAAAAAAAAAAAGATTTGCTGCTCCAATCCTGAGGCCTTTGGGAAATAGTATCTTGACTTGGTGACATTGGAGAAGTTTCAGATTGTCTTTGAAAAACTTGCAATGGACCTATTTGGTTGATCTTTAAACCTTTCCACAACTCAGGCTGTTAGAATGTGCACTTAGTTAGAATGGTGAAGTTACATTATTCTCTCATTGGCTTTGTCCCCCCCCTTCATTTTTTGTCCCTTTCTTCTTCTTTTCCTCACCAGCCCACCTATATAAGTGCTACGCCCTGAGGGATAGCTGCGGGATGTGTCTGAAGGCGAACCCCAGGTTTGAGTGCGGCTGGTGCGTACAGGAGAAGAAGTGCTCCATGAGGCAGGAGTGTACTCCTCTAGAGAGCACTTGGATGCACGCCACCACAGGAAACAGCCGCTGTGCGCACCCCAAGATCATCAAGGTAAGCCTCGATCGTAGCAACACATGCGGCTCAGCACACAACTCCATATTTCAGCTCAGTATGCTCCTGAAGCCCAGCAAGGTAACACATTCCTGACTGCACATGAGTCCCTGCAAGTACACACATGCTAATATTAAATTGGATTAAAAGTATTAAGTGCCGTTGATTTATTACAAAAACATGGAGCTTTCCAGGGCAATATTGCTTTTTTCATCCAGAGTTTACATACTGTATAGGGTTAAAAAAAGGGAGCAGAAATTGATTTTATATGTACATTTTTCAGCTAGATACATAAATAAAAGTAGAACCTCTTTATTGCCAGAAGAATTTAGCTGACGCCGTCTCAAGACATTAACACCCCAAGGTCTGTGGGACCAGGGTACCGCCCACTCTTAAATCAACATTACATGTAGCTGCTAAATTCAAGCTATAGAGAAACCCTTCTCTTACCTACTGTATGTTAAAGTTAAAGCAGACACTTCAGCTGTTATTTGGTGTGCGTTGCTCAGCAACTCGACCTCGTAAACAACAAACAAGTCAAGGATTTTTCAGGGCAGGAGTAAAAAGGGAGGGGGTTCAAGCGACAGAATGCCCTTTGTGACAAGGTTATATTAGCTACTTGTTGGACAAAACTGTGGAACTAAAAACGTGCATTTTGACACGAATCTAAGCTTTGCAAAAATCAGCTCATTAGTAATTAAAAGTTTGGCCTCAGCGAGTGAAGGTGGAGGGGAGGTGGTCGGAAGGATAGACAACTTAGAAGCCATCACCATGACGGCAACCACAACACAGATGGGTCGGCCAGGAGGAGGCAGTTCACACACACTAAGACTGAACACACAGACATGATTAGAGATGATGGCTGCACACACACACACACACACACACACACACACACACACACACACACACACACACACACACACACACACACACACACACACACACACACACACACACACACACACACACACCTGAGTAGGCAGAGAGGGTGTTTGTCTGTTGTGTGTGTGTTTGCAGGAGGGTGACAAAGAAACCGAGTGTGGAAGTGTGCTGCTAATTGTGTGCCGCCATGGGCGCAGAATGTGTGCGTGCACGCATGCATCTGACAGGCTGGGCGAGCTAAGGCTTCTAAACACCGTGGCGTACCCATCTGTTTCCACCGGGTAACCGTGGAGGTGGTCCTCGTCTGACTGTGACCTGGGTCACTGTCACTACAGCTCTCCACTGGGACAGACACACACATGCACACACACAAAGAGCCACGCACCGCTGTGTGAGACGTGTCTAAACGTTCAAGCCTTTCACTCGTTCTCATTGGTCTTTCCTTTCCTCTCATTGGTTTTCCTCCAGCTTTCAACACATTTTTTGCCCTTTTCTGCTAATTTAATTTTATCTCACATCAGACGAACAATCATCTGAGTCAAAATGAGGGACATTCCTCTCTATTTAAATAAGTGTGAAATATATGTATGGTTTAAAATGCATGCCCATTTCACCGATGCAGACTTGTATGGCTGGAGCCCTCAGAACATTTCCTGTATGACACGGGTTCGTCTCTCTGAATGCGTAATGGAGATATTGGATAATTGGGGCACTGGCACATAGATAAATCCGTTCGCTAATGCTCTCTCTCTCTTCTTGCTCGCTTCGGTTATCTCTTTGAAACAAGCGTACAGAGGCAATTGGGTTTTGTGTGCGTGTATGTATGAGAGAGATGGGGGGGGTGGTTGAAGAGGTGAGGTGGGGATGAGTGTGTGTGCGCAAGCATGTGCTCCTGCATGCATATTGAGGGGTGAATCCTGGCCTCAGGGCAAGATGTTGGTGGCAGTCAAAGAAGCAGGCGTATCGAGCTTCAAAAACCGCAGGAGGAGAAACATACTGCAGGTTTGAGAACATCGAAGAGACAAAGAAGAATAGAAAAAGGGAGAGATATAACTGTTGGAGGCGTTATCTCCACCCCACACTGCCAGCCTTACCTCTCCTCTCCACCTTTGACATTTACAATGTGACATTTATTGCTAAAAGAACATCTGCAGGCGACAAAGAAAAGCTCTTTCTTTTCTTCTGCCATTTCATCACCAAAGAGCATCACATCCACCACACAAATTTGTTCTTTGTTATATTTTGCCGCACGCTAGCTTCTGTGTGGCCATAAGCTAGCGTATTAGCCGCATATTTCATTTGGACTGGAGAATGTGTGTTTGATCGGGAAGGAAACTCCACTGGAGAGGGAGTGTGACCGCGCAAACAACATGCACATTAAACACACAGCTATCCAGAGCTCTCAGAGCAGCAAGCGTTGAACCCATTTGGTGTCATTTCCAAGTGTGCTAATGCCCATTTAACGTTGTTCAATAGTGTGCAGTTGGGTACCGTTCAAGCAATGTCTCTGGCACCTAAGCACTGTTCTCCAAACACGGCAATTTATGTTTTAGGCTCAGAATGATTGGGTTAAACCAATAATTTAGCTGTTGGGCTGTTAGTGCGGCATTTTATTGTGGGCTGCATTTCTTCTTGCCCTCCTGCACTGACACTGTGCTTCTAAAGATTAATGTAGTTCTCCTTTCACAACAAGCAGACACACAGTTTGTCGTGAGAAAAGCACGGCAGCAAGCACACTTGTTCGGCTCC